CGCCCCCCCCCCTGCCGATGCAGGGGACACGGGTTCGTGCCCCGGTCCGGGAAGGTCGCACATGCCGCGGAGCAGCTGGGCCCGTGAGCCGTGGCCGCTGGGCCTGCGCGTCCGGAGCCTGTGCTCCGCAGAGGGAGAGGCCACAACAGTGAGAGGCCCGCGCACCACACACACACAAAAAAAAGAGGTATGCTGGAGTTCAAAATTTCAGAGAAGCAGCAGACCCTCATGTCAGATCTCAGTGTAAGGGAAGCAATGTCTAAGGTATCAATGCTTCCACATTTTTCGAGAGTAATAGATGATTGGAGAATGACAGCTGTGGGATAGAGGGATAGAGTGTGGCAGGAAACTCAAAGAAAGAAGGGGTTTTGCACAAGGGTAAAAGAACACTGGGAAACTGCAGTGCTTTATGTCATAAATGAAAAAGACGTGATCCCTGTTTAACAGTCATGAAGGGCAGTCTGTAAAACATAATGGTACTCATTCCCTTGGCTGAGAGCAGCATCAGGTGAGGCCACTTTCCTGTTATTTGCTAGCCTCCTACATACTGGCTGGACATTGATACATTACCTTTTAATGAATAAACTTATTGAACAGTCAAGGTGGCAGAGCTAAGGAAACACTGAACGTTTTTATTATTCATAGATATTTGGTCATTTGTAAGGTTGGCATATTGCTGACTGTATTTTCACTTCCATTTTCTTCAGCTAAGTCACAGTGCTCAATTGTTTCTTCCTTAAAATGTCTTTTATATTTATAAATTCTTCTCCATTCCCTTTTTCTCAGCAGTAGTTCTGAGTTGGAAATCTCTCTTTTCTCTAACTCTCACCTCTCTCCTGTTTCAATCATCTTAATGCATCAAGCGGATTAATCTTTGCAGAAGAATGATGTCAGAATCTAATTCCACTGCTCAAGAACATACACTGTATTGATTTTCCATTAGGTGCACTATTCAGTTGTATGAAGTCCTTTGTTAATCTACATCTTCAGCCTTGTTCCCCACCACGCCCCACTAAGAATGGTCTATTCTCTTCTGGCTGTTGCCCTCCTGTGTCCTCTGACACATGATATTCATGCTCACATTTTTGTCTTCACTAATGCTATTTCATCTGCTTCAATTGACTGTGCTTTCTCCATCAGTGGGTCTGAATTCTGCCCTGTATTGTGGGCAAATTATAATCCATTTTCCAAAAAGAAAAATTATCATTTTAAATATTCCATCTTACCACAACTTCTCCCTTCTCTCAATTTTAAACATTTAGCCATTCTCTTGTTTTGTTTTTCCAAATAGATTCGAAGCTATTTGAGGGAAAGTGTCATATTGTATATTTCTTGCCCACCGCCATAGTGCTCAGAAACACATTGGGAATCTATGATAAATCACACACAGATGGCATTGTGCTGTCAGTACACTATTAGAACACAGTATGTTTCTTGAATGATTGCCTTGGCATTTTTAAAAGAATGTCACCAAATGTTGACAATTTAGTATGCTATTTTTTACATTGCTCAGTTCTATTTTGCATCAGAATTTGCCAAAAGTACTGCTACAATCAGCTTGTAATAAAGTCATCACTAAAATTATCAAGGCCAGAGCATAAATGGACTGATTATAGGTGGATGTTAACTTTCAAAGAGTAAGCTGTGACTATTCAATTCATAAATCTCCATTAAACAACACTCAGTGACCTTAGGCTTAAGCCCCAAGAGAGCCAATTCAATTTGTACTTCATAACCTAGGAAGGCCAGATGCTAGTCTACTCAGTTCTGTGGCAGAAAGATATTTAGAAGCATCTGAAGGTCAATCATGAGGAAAAACTCAAGCTCAATGAAAAAAAAAAAAAAATGAATAATTTAAAGTGGCACATAACACACCATTTTGTTTCAGTTAATTCTATTTTCTACCTCTTTACTGTAAGACAGGCCAAACATAAGAAATTCTAATTCTTTTCGTAACCCAGAAAACATTTTTATAAAGAATTAAGTGTGAAAGTGACTTAGGTTTAAAAGTAATGAAATTATTCCTATGCCTCAAACTTGTATTGTAGAAAATTCAGATAAACTAAATTTCTGCTGTCAGGGGAGGGAAAGTCAGACAACAACATATTTTGGGGTAGATGACAACCCTGTGTAAGTGTTACATGGCTTTTGTCCTGGTTGTTGCTACTGTTCCCTCTATTGTCTTCAGAAGTTAAAGTCATGAGTAAACATTCTTGTTTCCTCACCTGCAAAATAAAATAGCTAAATTGTATCAGACCTCCCAGTGTGAAACACTGCATAATTAAAATTAGATCATTTCAGTACATCAGAGTTGGTGAACTACATTGCATGAGCCTTTTGTAGGCAAAATATCAAGGGGATAAATGATACGTTTAGGAGAAAATTCTCTCTTCTTTGGCAAAAACTATTTGTTCACATAAAAATTAATTGAGCATACTCTCTGTGTCAGTATACGATACACTGTGAATTAAACAAAAGAGCCATAGCATATAAGGAATTGAGCTTCAAGATTGTATAATAATATGGTTAGGGAGACAAAACACACATATACAAAATGCTCATAGCAATGAAATACAACCCCTGAAAAAGATAAGTCACTGGGAAATGTTAAAAGCTATGAGTTCAGAGGAACAGGAAATCAGAGGGTCAAGAAATAAAGTTCATTTCAGCTGTTGCATTAAAAAACCAATACACACCTGCATGCTAGATGCTTTTCTTACATTGTCTCCTTTAGGGAAATTCAAAGTGGATTTTGAACCAGCAGACTTTGGGTACAAAAGGAGGGATGGAAATCAGAAGTCTGAAGGCAGGATGACAGAAGCATGGACTGGCTAGCAGGAGCAAACTGAAGTTTGGAAATCAGGTGGATGGGAAATCAATCTGGGGGTGTACACAGAAATTTAAACACTATCAACCCCCTCAGTACGGACAAAGTATTGTCCTCCCGAGACCCCTTCACCAGCTCATCAGCTTTGCAGGGTTTTTTGTTTTGTTTATTTGTTTTGTTTTTTTTGTTTTTACTTAAGACTGCATTAATGCATTTATTTTTTATATTTTTAAATTTTAAAATAATAACACACAGAAAAGTTGCAAGTACAATATAAACATTTTCCCCCTGAAGATTTGATTTGATGCCCCATCACCCCTAAATAAACGAGTGTATGTTTCCTACGAACAAGAACATTATCCTATACACCACAGTAAAGCCATTAAAATCAGGAAATTGAAGCTTTGCTGTTTAAAGAAACCTTTTTGAATTTCAAAAGCATCTTACAGTGAGGACCAGTTCCTTGCGGTTTGAGTCAGCACATAACTAGCAATTGTGATGTCAGAAGCACTTTTGAACCAAACCTTTGACTAAGTATGAAGTGCTGTGCTTCACTGTGATGAACTCAGTAGTTTAGAGCCTGCACTTAAACAAATATGTTGCATGTACATATTCATATATAGATTCACTTGTTAGCCATAGCTTGCTTATGCCAAGCTCTCTTGGCTGGCTACATCAGCATACGTATCATTTCTTCTTCCACTGCCTCCTCAGACTGCTATGGACAGATTTCTTCATTTCCTAGGCCAAAAGTCATATTGGTGAATAGAGTTGTTAAATCCAAAAAATTACTGTTATAACAACTTTAGCAAGTGTACAGAGTTTTCAGGTTGATTGTGACTATATTTACACCTTTCTTGAACATATCAAGATTCTAGTTCTTGATTTTAACATTTAATTCTGACATAAGTTAAGGAAAGCTCTTCGACCAATCTCCAGTTTAGGAGGTGATACTATTTGTAAAAGAATTAACTTCTCTTTATGCACATTAGCTCAAAACTTAATCCACATTAGGTTTCCCCTCTTGAGCAAGGATTTTCTTTTTCTAGGTGGTTCCAAAGCACTTGATAGAACTGATGTATGTATACCCACACCAAACTCACAACATGAACAGATTACACTCATTCCCAGTTCATAGTTTATCAAACACCATACCCCAATGGAAATAATTATATAGAAGGAAAGATACTTGTAACTTGTTTCTTCCAGCTCATTCCCCCAAAGACACAAAGTTATTAGGTTTTATTTCTTTAAA